TTAACCTTTATGCTTGTTTGTAAAATATTGTAATATTTTCATCACATACACCAGGTTTCCCCATTGAGGCCTTTGATACATGAGGCGAAACAATAAATAATATATGTATGCTTATATAGAATACACATGGCGGAGTTAGATAAATACCCGTATGTTTATTTCAATGGACGTCGGTAATTGATGTAAAGGTATCGACGGTGCTGCCACCTGATTGATTCCAACAGGAACATGCTTAAAGAGTTCCATATTGTATTATTACAACAGCAGAACACATGTGGACTTCAGAGCTTAACGTAAGAAATTCCGGAAATGTAATTGCTACTGATAACAGTTTTCTTATTTATAAAGTCGGGAAGAACAAAAAGGTTAGAACGCCCGAACGTACCCACTATTTTATTGTCACATGTGGTAATTGCAGTAAAGAATATTCAATATTTTCATTGGCTAAAAATACACAATTTTTCTGCACTACAATCGTTACAATGTATTTTGGTTGGCCATATGTAAGGCCTACATCGACGTCATATTTGAATCTACACATGTCTTTAAACTTGTATATCAAGTTCAACTTGAAAATACTTGTGGTGCAGGAATTTGAATTATCAAATTATAAAAAGAATTCCCTTCATTTTTCCAGCTCAGTTTTTCCGTTAGAATGATTCGTTCATATCCAAATAAACAAGAGCATAAATTTCTTAATCTCGAACCGAATCTGAACACACAGTACATGCTGAAATATTCTTAGTAAAGCTCTCTCTCTCTCTCTCTCTCTCTCTCTCTCTGTGTTAAATGAGTTATATGAAATGAGTTATTAAAACAAGCAGAATTCTGAAAACCTAAGTCCTTGATGTTAAATCGCCAATTCAGCACCAGTGGTAATAACTATCGTCTGCAGATTGTAGATTACAAAACCAGGTGTAAAAAGGGCGGGTAAAAGGAAGTTTATAATTGATATACCGTGGATGTATCTTCACCAAAACACCTGTCATTGACAGTTGGCCTCCAGTTGGTATAAATACATGATATTGCACATAAAATCAACCCAATGCATTTAAAACAAATATTTTACATCACGATAAAGCGAGATCTTTCACACGAAGTCTCTTTAATAGATCAAATATAAGATATATTTCACGCCAAAACACCAGTGCCTATAACTAAATTTTAGTAGTATTATTTAGAGTTGGGAAAAAATGGAAAACTTAACTTCCAGTAATGGTAAGAAGCGATTTCAATTTTGAGCAAAACCTTGCTTACGCTTTACGCCCTTTGGTGTCGATTTGAGTAAAACCTTGCTTACGCTTTACACCCTTTGGTGTCGATTTCAGTAAAACCTGGATTACGCTTTACACCCTTTGGTGTCGATTTGAGTAAAACCTGGATTACGCTTTACACCCTTTGGTGTCGATTTGAGTAAAACCTGGATTACGCTTTATAACCGTGGGTCCAGATTACACTTTACGACTCTTGCGCAGATGTAAGTAAATTTTGGGTTACACTTTATGACTTTAGACCCTGCAGATTTGTTGTAACGGAAAAATATATTGTTTATGACTTAAAACTTGACATTATTTTTGGAATCCCAAAAGTGGGTGCATCTAAATGTACATTTATTATACGGATTGGGAAACTATCAATGTAAATTTCAATTTGGAATGACATAGGTTCGGATTAGTTTCCCATTCCCTGCAAATTACACACGCCCTAACATTGTAATCGTTCTAGCCATAGACGTCAGGAGCTTCCTAAGTGTGGATTCACTTTTCTAAAAACAAAAAGCATGGTGAAAGAAATGAAAACTTCTGCAAGTTTTTATGTTATTTAAGATGGTGAAGTAGTTAGGTTGACCTACAAGAAAAATAACATTTTTGTGAGTCGTAAACAGTTAATATATCGCGTACCTCTCAGATGGTATAGACTTCTGTTGACTGACAAGATGATAGGCCAAGGTTTGATGTAAGACTAAAAACATACGTAAGGGTCGTATACACTGCGCAAACTTCGCCGACTTTGAATTTCTTAATTTTAGAATCAAAATAAATTGACATCCACTTATTATCTATAATATATATATTTTTTTCATTCCGCGTCTACTTTATCTGGAAATTTAACTTTTAATACTTCAATACGAAAGTACAAGAAGTGACACCAGGTGTTCTAAAATATTTGCCAAGTGCACGGGAATTGTCACTACTTATATGAAACTAGGGAGATTGTATAGGCATGATTTCAGAAGTAACAACTGCCTGATATAACGGCTTTAGCTAAAGTTACAACCGTGTGTATGGGCCCCAGGTTTGACACTCAAATACAATGAAATTGTAGTAAGTCATCGGATACAAAGAAACTAATTTCATTTACTTTTTTACTAGTTGTGAACTCGTCAGTGTAGATTTGGTGTTGCTTTGCCACTTATTATATTACTCTGAGCACACACGGTTTAAATCAGACTCACGTATAGAGATGACAGGAATAAAATGGGCGGAGATTAACCTTTTTATTAACACTTTACAGATAATCTGAGACCAACATATCATGACTTTATTCTCCACGATGAGGTATGCTATGAAAACAGAGGGATCAAATCGTACGAAACTGTCGCTCGAAAACTAAATGATAGCTTGAGAATGGGGTCCAGTGGGTATGGCCGTACGATTATTAAACCATAAACATCTTTCATTGAGTTCAAAATGTACAAATGATCAGATGTGTTATTTTAAACAGTGGTGGTACTAGTTTTATATAAATTTCCAATACGGTATACTCAAACGGAAGTCGGATTGTTTACTACTTTTAGTTTCGTTTCTGAAAAAAGGGCTATATTATTTATACACTTATAATGGCTTTATCTTCGGGAAACTTTTTTTACATGTTAAAAATGTATAATCTACTAAAACAAAATAAAAATTGGAACCATTGTAAGTTCCAGACATCTTTAAATGTTAAAAAAATATCATCTTGCTAAACAACTCAGAACATAAGTTCCAATGAACAGTCGACAGACACTTAAGTTAGTTCATTTCGATCCTACCTGTACGGTCAATATTGAATACCTTTGCCAGATTCGCCAGATTCGTCTGTACAGTTTAACAAATTGGCTACTGTGGCCACCCATGGAATTTAAATTCCTAATGAGATGTCATAACATTATTGGTTCTGTGGCTGAAAGCTTCGGTTCAGGGGGTTGATTTATATAAACACTTACGATGGAAAATTGAGAACCTGACAATTACCACAACTAATTCATCATCAAAGTCGCTGGAAAAAGAACATCTTACAAAAACAGACTAACATGTGGCTATCGATTTTAAAACATTTCGTAGCATTCATGCCCTTGTTTCGAAACTTGAAACTCATTTTCGTATTAATGTGACTCAAAATTACCTGTCATTCTTTGATGGATAATCTTGTATTCAAATATTTTGTAAACAATTTTGATCTTTAGAAGCTCTGTGGTATGGAACGAACATGTATGGTTTATTGCAAGGGTTGCTATGTTCTATGTTAGGTCTCATAATGCAATCGTTTAACCGTGGCCATTTCAAGGGGGGCAAATTTAATTATCGCTAAACGTTATTTCTACCTAATAATTTGATTTGTAGAATAACATATACCCTATAACGAGACGTAAGTTTAGATCTAAAGCACCCCACCTCTTTAAAACAAACTTGCAATACAGGTAACTTGACTCTAAAACATAAAGCCATTACAAAGGCATTTGATTTGCTAATTATTCTAGTAAGAATTAATCAAATTTCAATACTATTAAAGATAATTAAATAATTAATTAATATATATTAACATAGGATCAACTTTGATGCAGGATTTGTCTATTAATTATGGAGACACGGACTATTACCAAAATTATACAAAAAGAGTAAATATCTTTAAAACAAACTTGCAATACAGGTAACTTTGAAATACTTGACTCGAAAACATAAAGCCATTACAAAGGCATTTGATTTACTAAGTATTCCGGTAGAAATTAATTACATTTCAATACTATTAAAGATAATTAAATAATTAATTAATGTATATTAACATAGGATCAACTTTGATGCAGGGTTTTTCTATTAATTATGGGGATACGGACTATTACCAAAACTATACAAGAGTTAAATATTTTAAGTTAATGACTAAAAATTATGAAATTGATGATTTTTAAAGATATATTTCCAGATGGCGACATTGCTTGTTAACGAGATAGTCAGGAGTTCCATATAGCCTGGTCGGTAACTGTTTTTTGGCGCCAGCGAAATTCTTTACCAAGACATTCATTATTAAATCATCAAATGTACACTTAACGACTAATAATTTACTTAATTAGTGGGTTGTTTTAATGTAGTATATTATGTAGGCCTAAAATAACAACATACAAGAATTACAAGTAGGACAAAACTTAAAATTAATAAAAGTCTACTCAAATTAGTTATATTCAGTAGTTTTTAATAGGAAACATTCTAAATATATATGAAAGGTCATTTGGATCACAGTTATCTATGTAATTATGATTGCTCGTCGGAATTATGGGTTTATACTCCCAAAAAACCCAACAACATATAAATTGCTCGTCGGAATTGTGGGTTTATACTCCAAAAAGGCGTATAAATTTAACATCTGTGTGTTTGCTGTAAAGTTACTGGAATATTTAAGATTAATTACTTAACATCGATGGATTTCTTAACAAGAAAATACTTCTAGGCTATCTATCTTTAAAGGCATTTTTTAAAACAAAACCCGCCTTAAACTCAGCTGTATGGTACGATATTCCCCCAACAAATGCAGCAATGTTGTTTACTAATATTACACATTTTGGTAAATACTGTAGCCGTACAACAAAATCTATAGCAATATCGTGTTGAAGAAAAAAAACTCGCGGCTGGTGTTGGTTCCTTGGGCAATTTCACTACAGTAGTAACACCCAAAGGGCGCAAGTTTGGCTATTTGGATAAAAGCTCCCATGGAGACTAACAAAAGATTTACAAGTTTAAAATGCTTACTGTCTTGTTTTTTCGGACACCATCCCTTGGTACTGAAGATATTTCCATCATCAGGTTGACAAGAACTCTTCTTTTTAAACTTTCTACTAGACGAGGCTGAGATTTTACCATACGGGGGTAAACCAACTGGTTCTTTACATACTGAAATACAATTCAAGGCTAATTTTAATTCTATTAATATACGAGTATGTACACCATAAATTGTTAGTTGGAAACTAATAAGTGATATTCGATGTTCTAGAAGGGAATCATTGATTCCATTCATCCAAGATACAAGACACTGAATCATTAGAATTATTAGAATTGACTTCCCTATTATGGGGACCGAAAATAACGGGTTCAGGACCGCTTAGAACCTTACACACTAAAAATTAATTTATTCGTTCAAATAATACGAACAGCAATAAATTACCCCATGCGATCTGTGGCGCTTCCACAATGGAAACCATCTGCTAAAAAAGGGTATGTGCTACTATGACAACGAAAACAGGTCTACAATCCAAAGCAGTGGAATATTCATTTTTAAAGATACCTTCCAACGTACAAACTGTGTGATTTTATAATATAATTGATCTAAAAACACATTCAATGTAATGTGTCTATCAAAACATTTTAATCCAGAGAAACTACCCCAAGCCGTAAAATTCTATTTTTAGGAGCCGTGTTTGTCACGTGACTTAACTGTCCCGGAAATTACACAAGCTGAGGGAGATCCAAATCAGCTTGTGTTTGTCTTTATTCGCTGGCCATTTACCACAAGTTATCGGAGCCTGGGTAAATTCTGGGATTATCATTAACGTTTAAGTAGATATACTTACGTTGACAACCGAGAATTTCAACTCTCATACTGGGATGACGATGCCAATGTACGGTATGGAACTTGATATATCTAGCAATAATAGGTTTATCAAGATAGACGTGACGTATTGCATAGGAATCAGTGTTACCCTCAAATACCTGAAAATAGACAAGACATTAATGATTTAAAGTTAAATAGTGTTTAATTTCGCATCATCTATTAACCTGGGATATGATAATTAACCAGATGTGTGGTTACATAAAAGACCTATTATGGGAGATTAGACAAAGAGCTGGTAGTTCTCACTATAATAGTTAAAACCTAGATAATGTAGAGGAGATATGCTGAAAATTTCAATCAATTTGATCCACACTGAACCAAGTATTTAGCGATTGAATTTTGGGCCTCGCCTCGATCATCATTACTAAAGTCGGTGCGATAAAAAACATAGTCTCGATTATCTATTGTTTTTATTTAATCAGAAGCAACAGACCGGGTTCTAATCCAGTAAATATTACAGGCTAGCGATGCCATCGAGAGTTGATTATGGTCTGGATAAGTTAACTAATGTCTAATTAATATTTAGATAACATTTCAGACCCAAAGAAAGACCTGCAATTGGCAGATTTAGCTCTTGCATAATGTATGTTTAAATACATACTACAAACTGATCTTTAAAAATAAAATAAAGACGGTTAACCTCTTTCTTCCTAAATGCGTTCGAATCTATAAAGAGAAATATACAGGCATTAACGTCCACAAAATCAAGCTATTTTGGAACTAATATACTTTTATTATTTTATATTAATGATTTATGTGTCTTGGTTTTGTCCATTACGTTAAGATGTTTAAAATCAAAGAATACTATCGCCAAAGATCTAAACAATTATGGAGACTCAAGGACCGATGTTTTCAGATATTCGACCCACAGCTTAAGGCATTGACCAAGAGGTTTTATCCAATGAAGACACTGATGTAAATTTCAATCTATTTCCAGATCACGGATATGACATAATGTTTTTATTAGCAAATTCTGTGACGTTATCAGTTAACGTAAAGGTAAATTCAGATTTCCATTTTAATATTTTTAATTGGTGTATCCCAGGTCCTGTCAAATTTGTACTCAATGATACCTCTCGATGTAAAAGATTAAAATCCCCGAAAACAAATAATCACTTGTACACGGATGTGTCAATTCAAATAACAAAATAAATTTCAAATAACTGCATGTGCAAATCCCTTGAGAAAGAAAGATTGTACTATTCTCGTCATGTTTTTTTAAAAAGATAATTATGTTGTGTTTAATAATTGATAAGAAAACGCCCAATTGCAGGGGGTTGGAATAACTAACATACCACCGCATAGAACCGCTGGGCGTCTTGCATTTTTTTAATACTCGAGAAAATATCGCAATAATCCGACAGATTCTAATGATTTTATTTTTATTTATCTTTTTACATGAACAGATTTATAAAATAAACAAACAATGAGCAGAAAAACACCTGGATAGCCCATTCTGTTATGACACGCTAAGACCCGCATAATCACATAAGGATGTTAAGAAAAATGACTTATACCATCATAGTATTTTGATGCAGATTTTTGTCATTGAGAAAAAAAATGGACGTTGCTGCAGTATGTTTGTTTTTATTTTCTAATTGAAATCACCAGTTAAATAATCCACCTCCAATGCATTTATTATTTTTCATGTATTAAAAAATTACATACGTTGGTGTGTATTAAGTGCATCGGGTTAAGTGCATCGGCAAATTCTTTTAAGTATTTTAAAAGTAGTGTTTTCATTTGTCATGTGTTGTGCACGGGGAACAGTGTGACTACTATATCTTGAACACCATCTATGTACTGTTATACTAATTTCTCGTTTTGCTTCATGTATTTTTATGCGTTAATGTCGACCATAGCTATCAAAGTCCGTCCGTCAGCTTGTCCGTCAAATACTCTACAGGTCACAATTTTTATGCCACTTAAAGATTATCTACAGGTCAGACGTTTTGGGATATGTGTTTTTCAAACGTTGTTGGATTGTTTGGCAAGTGCCTGTTACTGTCTCTGTAACCCTATACATTTCCTGGGATTTTCCTAAGGAAGAACTGCCCCTGTCACCTAAATCATATAAACGCTCTGCTGGGAAAGCTTTTAAAAGCCAGTCTTCAAAATGCTACCAATGGCCGTATATTCGTTGCCTGGCAAAGCTGATTAACCGTGTGCGGCAAAACTTAAATCTTATTATATATCGATTAATGTATATGGTTTCTAATAAGACGGTGTTCCCCAAGGATCAACCTTTGTCCCTCTTCCTCATCTTATACAGTTTTAGCTGTTTTTATTTTAATATTGCCAGAAGAACAGGTTATGCTGATAATATGGTTTTCACCAAGGACCAACCTTTGTTCCATATCTTCATATGCTATAAAGTAATGGCGTAATTGAAAGTAGCCTTATAAAGCTTTTAATATTTGGTAATATGGTTTTCTAAAGGGGTCAGTCTTTGTTTCGTACCTTTCCATTATTTAAAGAAATGATATAACTTCAATAGCTGGAGACTTTCTACTTGTCTTAAGATAGTAACTTAATAAAGTAAATTTAATATTGATTCAAGTTTGATTACTTTAAGAGATATAAACCCTATTATTTTATAATGTATAAAACCCTGCTGTTATTTCCTCGGTACAGATAAAGGGATGCTATTTGCTCTGTAATTTTCTGATGAATTGTTTTCTTTGAAAATGAAGCGGAAAATTAGATATCCATATCTTATTATAATGAAATTATCAAATATTGAAATTAAGGTCCGGATGAAATATATTAACTAACTGTTTCGTTCCGGTTTTCTAGTTATAGAGGACGTGTCCATATCTTTAATCTTCTCGGTGGGAATTAAGCTTTATTATGTTTATTCATGTGGCATAAATAAACGAGGACGCCTGAATTATTTCTTTAGGAATTACAATGGTCATTCGGAGTGTATGGATACAAATATAGATTTGAACAATACGACGGGGTCAAATGTTACATACGTCAGATTGTGAAAGGCCAATTCATCTTCCCACGAAGGCAATAGGCTATTTTTATCTAATCTAATCATGACAACACAGCGATCTGTTAGTTTCGTTTTGAAAGAAGGGCATACAGTAAGGTGTTCTAATATTAGTAGCCGTATATAAGTATTTGCTTAGATTCAAACACCTGTAAATTGTAAAGATACGTCCTTTATTGTTGATTTACTTTAAAGGGACAGGCCACTCTTTAATACGGAAATTAAGGCGATCGCATGGCGACCGAACAACCCAACTAATAACTCCTTGCATAGGGATTTAGTTCGCTCTTGTCAGTGGTGCAGGATGGAGGGTATGGCAAGGGAAAAGTATAGTCTTTTGGATGGGATTAAAAAAATCAAATTCACATAGGCGTGCACATAAAAGAACCTGATAGCACGCTGCATGCTCGTCTTCGTTAGCCTAATCGGTGTAGAGGAGTAAGGCGTTAACAGGCATTTCATTTCATTTTTGCATGGGGATTTGGGCGTACTATGTAGTAAGTAACAAAATCATGGTGTCTTAAACCTTAGAAACACAACAAGTACTTTCTAAAATATAATTGAAATTCCGATTCATAGTAGCATGGACGTTCCGCATAAGACACTAATATACAAAAGCATATTCATATATTTAATGATTTTTCCTCTTCCGTCATTAAATCTGGTTGGCATCGGGTGTTATACTTTATCATCTACTAATTTATTGCTACCATAAATTAATTACCTTCATCCACATTATGATCTAAGTCTGCATTTTAACAACAACCGGAAGTCAGAGAGGTTGATGGGTACGTATTTAATGTGGGGTCTAATTCCTCTGCCATGTATGTATTTTTTAATGGTTTCCCAGGTACATGTGACTACTGTAGTACCAGAGGTAAAACATTTAGAAATTTTTAAATAACCCAATAAATGCATCTGTTATTTGTTTCTAACCTACATCTGTCTGAGCTTTTATTTACCTTCTTATTACAACCTTATTTTTAATCTCTAGACATCAAAAGCGGGGCTATTTAATTTGTATATTCCCCACCGTTTAATAAGGAAAATCATCTGCCTTTATGATTTCTGGCGATTCATCGTCCCTATGAATAAATTGCTAGGGCGTATTTTTAGCGGAGTTCAAACGTTAGACGCTAAAAGCAAATCAAATAAAAAAATTCATCAAAAAAAAACGAAGACGTTCAAGAAATATTTGGATTGAAAATATGGTTATGTTTGAACTGCATTATGTAAATGTTTTATGAAAGCACGCACGAAACTATTTTAGTGTGCGGTGGATCTTATCGTTTAGTTGTAAAAAGAAAATGATTTCTATCTAAACCCTTATTTTGTTAATTTCCACAGGTGCTCTAGTTTGATTGTATTAATATTGTTTTTATAAATAAAATAGAAATCACGATTATAGAGGTTATCATTCTTCTAATTAGGGTTCGAATAGTACACTTTTATATATAACCTGCCTTGTATAGAACATGGTCATGATATTGTATTATGCCCTATACCCGTCGGTCCCAGGGCCGTAACTAACTCAAAGCAACGAGGGGGCGGCGGGGGGTTCCCTGTGGTGCTGTAAAATTGACGGACAATCTATTGTTTTTATGGTCGACAATTTTTTCACAGGGGGGGGGGGGGCGAACCCCTGCGCCCCCCATCCCCTAGTTACGGGCCTGGTCGATCCCGTTTACACGACGGTGTGCACGTAAAAGAACCATTGTCAGTTCGAATTCGAAATGAGAGTAGGTCGTACAACTACTGTCCGGCTAAAATCACCGCCAATTCTATTGTCTTTGCCGCGTTATGGATAGCAACACACGTCAATAAATTAGTATATTGACCCAAGATGTCTAACTATAAGCATCGATAGATTATATGGTTTTGGCGTATTCCGTGTTTTGCATTTAATCTCTTCGTAAAGGGTATAATTCGATGAAATACGAAAAGTCATCAATAATTTATCGGACTAGTAAACATAATCTAGTAACAAATGGAGCTCGTGGCATTCATTATACAGTTCAAGGCACGACCTTTGTCATACAATATTAGGGTTTGGTTGGTATGGAATGGGGTTTAGCGTCTTGTCAGCACAATATCGCAGTTATTTTGAGACTAACATAGGGTTAATTTTATGGTCCTGCGTTCAATCCTAAGTAGGTGAAGTGTGTCTGGAGAGCGGCGTTTCCGTTTCCGCTTACTAGTCATCGAATTCCAACTTTTACATGAACCTCGTTTTTTTGGTGCCATCCTTTAGGCGCTGCTACTGACAAGTAGGGACCAGACTTTTAAAATCCCGATGATCTTCTCGACGAACACCGTGATTCGAGACGAGAGTCTGAATCCATTTCCACCCCACACGACAACCGTGGCCCTGAACCGCATGGTTAGGAAGAAAATATGAATTAAAGAGATAACTATTAAGTGTTCAAAACAAATACAAGAATTTAAAAAGTTGAATTGAATAAAGAAAATATCGGGAATAATTGCTGAATCATTCATTTTCTGATTCATGTTATGGGTCATTAATCTGTGCTGTACTTTCCTTTCCGGCGATTATAGGGGGGTTGGATGACCGAATGGTTAGTACGTGCGCGCTGTATCATAAGGTCTGTCAATTAGTCAACTGGCGGGATTTCGATTCCCCAGTTGTACGTGACAAGGAGTAGGGTTGCCTGTCCAAGCTCGTGGGGTTTTCTCCGGGTAATCTTCCCACTGCTAAAAACCACTAAGCGCAAGCGAATTATTGAAATAAAATTGAACCAGCGTTAGTCCCGAAATGACCTAGCTTCAGTCGAGTGGACATTAAACCCCATTTCTTTCTCTTTTTTCCCCCCGCCTATTATATATATTGTTTGTTTTTTTAGGTTATCAATAGATATACTACATGTAGTTGATAAAACGTTGATTAGACTTATGATGTTTGGTATTAGTATGTTAATTGTATACAACCCTGTAGGTAATATTACACTATGACCTTTACTCATGAAAACCTATATAAAATATAAAGCTTGCTCATGAAATTAAAATAAGGAATTTGATACGGGACATTATTTCAGAAAAATTGGAAGTCGTACAATTTTGTGAAAGGACATAACAGATCTTGTGATAAACTTGAGGTAAGATTAGTGTCTCAAACCTCATGGCTAAAATTGTCAAAATACAGGTGATGGCCCTGACCCTAAACCTAACCCAAGAAATACTCAAAATTATCAAATCTGTTTTAAACAAGAGGGCAAAGGTGTTTTAGGGAAAATTTGACATTAACCCAAGAATTATTGACAATGAAATAGACGAATCACTTTATGTCCACGTTGGTGTTAACCTTTCACCCTAACCCAAAATATACTCATTTATCAAATCTGTTTTAAGCAAGAGGGCAGGGAATTTTAGGGAGAACACAGCCATTATTGACAAATGAAATAGACGAACCACTTTATGCCCACGTTGGGTGTGTGTTTTTACAACTTATAGTAAACTTATCTATCGGTATTCTTCTACAGTATTTACATTGTTGTCGGGTTACCTCGTCCACTTTTGTATGTCGTAAATTCTTAATTTTCATGTACACAATGCCTGTATAGAGCCAACCATTTCTATAATTATCATATGCAATTTGCGCAAATCATTTAAAAAGAGACATTACGACGAATGTAAATTTAACAAAACATTTTTTGAAAACAATAACAGAAATATTTATTTCGTATTAAACATTGCCATGGAAGTTCAAATTGGCCTTAAAGATTGTTCTTCCAGAAGTTTAGAGATAACCTTTTTGCCTTTTCATAAAAAAGATCTTCGAGCGAATGTCCCTTGAAACAACTTGTATAATTGAAATAGAAAACATGTTTTAATCCCTTCACAACATGTAGATCACACCGCGTGTGAATATTTCCAATCGTTAAAAGAAGTGGATTATAAAAGGTTTCGTACTAATCTGGACTGTGAGAATTTCTTCATCTATTTTAAGGGCGTGATGTCATGGTCAAAATTAAGCTCTTACGCCAAAGTTTCGTACATACAGTCATACTTCTTGCTAACTACCGGAAAGTGCCAATGAACCTTTTTCACACAGGGGGTGATAATATATTAAAGAGCCACGACTTTTGACAAACGATGAATCAAATGTTCTTACCCTTTGGTTGCCATAGTGATCTGTGACGTATTGCCAATGGAAGGCGTCCATGGAGTAAGAAATCATAAATGACGTAACCCATTCGACGCCGTCACCTCTGCCCTGTGTCATTGCTCCTGTAACCTGAAATAAAAAAATATAGAAAAATTAAAGCAATGAATCGAAAGCAATCGGAACATTTTCATTTTTCAGATCGTTCTTACGCAAGGCTGGTTAGGCTTCCTCCTTCCGGAAGAACTAGTACCACTTCCAAGTATTGCAATGTCCCTCATTGTGGCGAGTCTCCTATCTTTTGATCGAATTTGTGAACTGGACTTTATAGTTTTGTTCCATAGAAGCTAGGATCGTCCTTATCAAGTCTCGCTACTGAATGTTTAGGCTACCGGAAGTGCGGGCACATTTCAAACGAAACTTGACGAATGATACTATTTATAGACTATTGCCGCCGTTGAGTATTGAACATATCTCGTAACATTAGCCTACCTTTAATTTCCTCTATAGGACAATTGTTGCGACAAAAATCACAGGGGATTGAAAAGGGAAAATAACATCCCATAAAAATATGTTTTCACGTACAGAGCAGTGGACAATATAAGAAGTTTCAGAGGTTTTGAGAAGGAGTGATATGACGACAAGGATAGACTCGATGCTCTAATTATTTTTGCACAAAAAAAAGAGAACAAAAATGGACCCTGCACGTTTCTTTTGACGAGTTTTACAACATCTATACATCATACAAAATGTACGATACAAAAAGAAGCTGAATGCAATCTCCGCCATCTTGAATTATAATGGTATTTTATCATTTGAATCACGGTGTACTTAATATGGCGGGTGTGGAGATGTAATTATTAGTAGCTAGACTGTCGTATTGAGTTTAAGAGATATCATATTACTCCAGCATATGCTAGTCCCACTTTCATAACAATAAAAGGAAGGAATCTCGTTATATAAGGCCCCATCCCTTCATCCCAAACCCCCTTTTCCAAACCCCAACGAATCCATGTGCAGGAGAGCCTGGTGCTATACCAGCTTTCACACCATATTAATTAAGGCTAAAATACGGTTAATTTTGCCTGGAGATCCACGATTCCGCCTTCTCATCATCGAATTGCATCTATCACGGATTCTTTTACGGCCTCAAACTTTGTATTAGACTACAACGGCGCAGTAACTAGATTGCATGCATAACTTAATTTTGTTTTGGGACGTTTTTATTATTAATATTTATAGGAAAAAAAGTATTAAAAATACCATTTTTTGTAACTTTTTGTTAACGACTTCACAATACATGAAGTGCTATATGTTTTTCAGGGTATAATAAAATTGATATTATCTGTAAAAATTAGCAACATGCAAACTGCGACAAAAATTATTTTACTCAAAAGTTACACCAACAAGATAGGAATCTAGTGACGACACGTCTTGAAAGTCATCCACCTTACACATATTATTATGGCAATTATCGATGGTTGTTGAAAGTAATAGCTAAATAATACAACACGTGTTTTGATTAAAATAAAACTTTATAGCTTGGTCCTGTCTTGTTTTAACTCGGTACCCAGTTTGGGTCGGGAAATGGTGCCTTTTCACTCGAATTTCATGCACAAGGAACCGAGCCAAACCGAGTTCCGAATAAAACTGCGACCCTGTATTTGATTACAACATAAGACAGGTATGCCCTGTGTTGATTTTATAAGGAACGGGCTAATTCTATAAAATGGGGGATTTTAAGGCGACAAATGGAGGATGGGGGAGGGAAATGGGTGGAACCGGCATTGGTACGAATTCGAAACAGCATCGCCTTAGATTGTTTAGATTTGTAAAAACTAAAGAGAAAAAAAATAAACAATTTATCTTTCAGAAACATACACGTAATCTAAGCCAACTGTTGTGCACCTTGAAATAGCTTTTCACTAATTATACGGATTATTAAATCCTGCCAAAAGTATGCAATAATAGGATACACCCTTATGACATCTTGTCGGGCCTGAAGTGCCATACAACTACATATTAATCGATGGGGTATTTCATAAACATGCCTCTAGAAACATGCATCATTATCTATAGCAACTGACAGTAGTAACCCATTAATAAATTTCAACGAAGAATATTATTACTGATAAACTATTGTTTGTGACACTTGTTCTTACTAACATGTATTCCACACCCCAAACAAAACCGTTAAAACAAATAGGTTTTACTTGATTGTTAAAAAGACAAATTACTCGGGAAGATGGCTCGACATTTAAAATGTATATAATCACGGGGAGTGGCGTTATATAGAAGATGGGGGCCAATATTACAAAAACCAATCCCTCTAAAAAACCGATAAAATTGGTCCACTTACAATTACAAGCTACACTATTGTATATGTGCACGTCAATTAAGAAGGTTTTTTTGTAATATTGGCCCCATCTTCTATTGTAAAAAGAACATTTGAACGATAACAATTTACAACCAATTATAATAGGTTTTTTACGGAAGTCATTTATTGAAGTTAGATAGTGGGAGTTATCTGATCTTAACTACAGATGTTAAATTGTTTCCAACCAAGTGCCCTTACGGAAAAAATATATTTCATCTTTAATAACCCTAACAACTAATTTTTCATCATCCTAGGCCAGTGCTTATGTGGAGACTTAACCTCTGCCCCAAATTCTTAAACCTAACATGCACGGGTTAGGGTTAGCATGGAAATAGGAGCCACGGTGGCTCAGTCAGTAAGACGTTAGCTCGCTAACATGGGGTCCCTGATTTGGCCGAGAAAGTTAATCATCGGGATTTTCCAGCGTGGTTCCTCCATGTCAGTGGTTCATGACCGAGGGTCTAGCAAGAGACAATGTATACTTGTTCGGATGGAACGAAAAGTCGAGGTCCCGTGTACACATTGGCGTGCACATAAAAGATCCCTTGGCAGCTGCAACTGGATATAAGAATAGGTTGTAGCGCCGCTGTCTGGGCAAAATTTCCCTCATAGCACACAGTATGGTGTATTTAAGTCTTCATTAGCCTAGTCGTAGCAGAACAGTAGGACGTTAAACTCCATTTCATTTCATTTCCGTTTGGAATTAACTGCGTTGTGAAAGCGCGAGTTTTGAAATAAATCAAGATGGTCGTCATTAGTAATGAGACACGTGGTACGTGTTCCATAAAGAGTATGCATACTCTGCATTTAATGGGCCGATGCATCGGGTAACCTCGGGGCAAATTGTCACAAATAAACAACACGAATTGTTTTGAGAAATATCAGCAGTTTTCGAAAACTAATATGTAAATAAACAAACATCTGATACGTAAGGCGGAGATAAAAAAAAAAATGACGAGTAGTTTTATGATAGCGGCTTGTACATAAAAACACAAAAGAGTCAAATATATCAGCCATTTTAAGCTGGGTAATGTTTATGTATAATAGACTTGATTAATGAGACAGTGTTAGAATATAAATTACCTTGAGTACTAGCGATATGGTGTGATCCTAGTTCCCAGTAAACACTATCCTCATTTACATATTCATTGTTCTTTTATATGAAATATTTGAATTACTGACATCATAAATTCTTTATAGGAAAAGAAAGGTCATGGATCTAGAATGGAATTCGAGATCGTCTTATCGCCACTGATCTGCCAAAATACTGACCAAAACAAACAACAGAAATTTTGTTGGAAGGGAAACAATCAACAGGATTTAAATTTCGTTTCGTTTTTTTTATACTTTCGTGAATCCAAATTAACTAAATAAAACGAAACGAAGTGACATCTGTGTTCTAGTCAGATTTCAGAAATAGCTCCTAGATTTAGGTTATTATGATGTTAAAGTTTACGAGGGGAGGGGGGGGGGTGGATGGCCGAATGGTTAGCACGCGCGCTTTATCATAAGGCCTGTCATTGAGTCAACTGGCGTGGTTTCGAATCCCCGGTTGTACGTGACAAGGAGTAGGGTCGCCTGTCCAACCTCGTGGGTTTTCTCCGGGTCCTCCTGTTTCCTCCCACTGCTAAAGACTCCTACGCGCAAGCGAATTATTGAAATAAAATTAAACCATATGTTAGTCCCGAAATGACCTAGTTTGTGTCGAGTGGACGCTAAACCCCACCTCTCTCTCTCTCTCTCTCTCTCTCTCTCTCTCTCTCTCTCTGTTAAAGTTGACAATTAATAGTCAATTGGGGTTTTGATACCTCATATGTCTTATAGTGGTCTAGAAAGGACAAAGTTATTTAAACCAGATTAGAATCATCTCATTTAAATGTACATCTATATTTAGTTTACTTCATAAAAAAGCAACATGATGGTCTTTATATAATGCCTGCTTTTGTGAAGAAATATTAATAAACAGATTGAATTTAAATTTTTTTTAATCAAATGAAATCAAAAACCACTGCCATAAGAGTCACTCAACCAACGAACGAAACCTATTTTTGATAGTAAAATTTTTATATCATGGATAAATATTTTAATTTTGATAAAATGGGGGCATTTCACAGTCAAAATGAGCGGGAAGTCATTACTAATGTAAAGAATGTAGAAGTTAAGCGTGAATCTATTTGGTTGGGTGACCAAATTTAACACCATATAATATTACACAGACAATCAGTAGACATCATCTACTAAACCATGTGATACACTCCATATAAAGGGAAACTCAGCTTTTTTTTTGTCCTTCTAGTCCTTCGGCTTTTAAAACTCAAGACGCCGTCGTGGCTCAGTGAGTACCGTGCTTGTTCAATAACCAGGAAGTTCGGGGGTCAATTCCGGTTTTGGTCGAGAAAGTTCCCCGGAATTTCCCTGCGTGGTTTCCCTTTGTCAGTGTGTCTAGCCGTTCAAATGGTACGACAAATCGGGGTCCCGTGTACACATGGCTTGCACGTAAAAAAATCTCACCTGATTGCAGGCCATAGCGCCGCTGTCCTGGCAAAATTTCCCTTAACAAATCCTCTAACTATGAACATCAAAACTGGTACTAGCAACCTTTTAAGCGAGATTATATCTAATGGACAATTATACAATAAAGGCATAGTTTTCTTTGTTAAAAAAAGAAAGAAGAAATGAACTTCTCTTTATCCTAAACATTATTATTTTCGCATCAGTGATGTTTGTGTTAACTTGTGTTGTTACTATGTTATATTTATGTTATCAATTGACCAAGTCTAAACAGCACGATGTTACTCTGGGTGGATCCCGATATGAATTTATAATTTCTTTTGTCATATTATGTACGTAGATTATAGGTAGACATTTTTTTTTCATTTTTTTATATTTTAAATGTTATTTTAAATTCCTCGTCAGAAATTCTAAAAAGTAAAATCACGTCTTCGGATTACATCTTGTCTGACTCTTTCAAATATATAAGGTAAAATTAGATTTATATCTTTATAAAGTTAAAAAAAAATAGTTCAATTTGTTACGAATAGTGTAATACAAATTTTTTATTGAAATTTTAATCTTATACGGAACGAAATATATATGCGATACTTATTGACATATATGAAATGCATTGAAAAGGGTGTAGAGCTCTTATTTTTCTGCACCAGTCTTGCTAATGAAGACGGGTATACGCCATGCAGTTTACTATGAGGTGAATTTTGCCCGGACAGCGGCTATTCCGCCAACTCTTCGTTGAGTTCTAACTGCCAAGGTATTTTTACCTGCATGCCTACGTGTACATAGAACCTTGGTTTTACATCCCATCCGAACGGCTAGACGTTCTTTAACGCCCACTCAACACATAATAATTCATTTCGTGACTATAATTTATCGTATAATTTGAGAGAAAACCGTAGAACTATGAGTAAATCCACTGACACGCCGATTTGCCATTTTGCAATTATGAATTTCCATTGGCATTTAGGATTGATTCCTTCATGCATTCCTCTATTCATTCATTTAATTTGTTTGCTCATTCTAACTTACCCTGGCAGCTACTCCCAGGTCCACCTGCAGCCATTCTGAAGATGATTTGTACTTTGCGCACCAACCTAACTTGTTAGGTAAATAAACTCGAGCATATTTTTCACTGCAACCTTTATCCCAGTCTTGAGGATATGTTGAAGAGGCTGTGATCTGCCAGTCATGTATACTGCCTGTTATCATTCCCAGAGGTCCATTCGTTATACAAACTGAAAATATAAAAATAACAAATAAACTTCAATATTTTAGCCATATAACTTCAATGTTTAGTCTTATAACTTTAATGTTTAATCATGTAACTTCAATGTTTCGTCATATAACTTCAATGTTTAGTCATATAACTTTATAACTTGAATGTTTAGTCATAGAACTTCAGTGTTTAGTCAATGTTTAGTCTTATAACTTTAGTCATAGAACTTCAATGTTTAGTCATTTAACTTCAACGTTTAGTCATATAACTTGAATGTTTAGTCATGGAACTTCAATGTATAGTCATATAACTTCAATGTTTAGTCATGTAACTTCAATGTTTAGTCATATAACTTTAATGTTTAGTCATATAACTTTAATGTTTAGGCTTAGAACTAAAGTGTAAATGAAATTTGGGTTTAACGTCTTTCTACATCAACCCTACTAACGAAGACCGGCATAAGTTATGCAGTGTTTTCTGAGTGAAGTTTTGCCCAGGCAGCGGGTCGACTGCCTAATATGAGGTGACCTTTAACGTGCTACAAATGAATTACTATTAGGGGCATCGGGGTTTCGTCCCATTCGAAAGATTAGACGCTTTTCTTTGCTTGGGCCGCCTTCATGTGTCACTGAGAAGTCAGATGGGAAAATCCCCGCGGAACAAACCCTGTGACTCCAAATAAAAATGCACATGACAGATAAAACAAATGTTGTAAGGATCCAAAGAATCCAAACAGAACTAAATCACTTTAGTCTCGACGATATGATTTGGTGAAAAGAGGACCCGTGTCAACTGAAAGAGACGGGGACAAAGGGCAAACAAGGAAAATGTAAAAAAAAAATCAAAAAATATACAAAATTTTGATTCGATAAAGACTACAAGCTTAAATTACGATTTGACTTTTTATGCTGAATCACATTAATATGAGTAAAACTTCCTAAAATACTTCTTTTTATAAGGAAAACTCTTTATAAGGAAGCATTTATAATATAAGTAAGAATTCGTATTCTTACATGATGTAATCATAAAAATGTGTTTTTGCGTGGGAATTTTATACTAATTTTAATGTATTCATATTCTTTGAATTCTTATACTTATAAAAAAGCCACCTTATAATTTGTATCGGATCAAAAATAAACCTCATTTTTATCGTATGTCCTTACAATACATTAAGATTCACAACACATTTTTTAAACAGGAATCTTATTTTATCGTGCATTTTTCTCACGTATACTTATTACTTACATAACGCAATATAAGTCAATTATAATCGGGAAGAATGAAACCTATATTTATCCCCAAATATCCATCTATATAATTTACATATTTGGATCACCTCGTACATGGGTGAGAATATATCCCGAGACGTTTACATAGACCCGTCAACCTAAAATACCTACAACACCCACTGCTGCACAAAGAACATTTCTAATTCTAAAGCATTTATATGTATATATCTTATAGAGATGTCTTAATACACACGAGAAACAAGGTGTAGTCAGTATGTAATAAAGCTCATGATGTTTATGTTACGTATACAGATGATGACAAGCGTAAAAAGCTATATTTTTAAAGTCTTCAACTTAATGTAAGATAATTCTACAAGTGACAAAAGATGAAGATGGAGACAATCGGATAACCGATAATTTACAAGACGGTGTTGCCGAATCGTGTCACCCGATTACCAAATACCGCTGTGCATTTGTTTGGTTTTTTTGCGCTTTTCTGGACTAAATCTATTGAAATCGCCTTTATGTTCAAATAAAAAAGCTCTGTAGATCATATAATTATTTTTAATGGAATGTTGTCCATTTATCAAAATAACAAAAAGTTTATCAAGATTGGAATTTGTTGCTGAACTGTGCAATAAAAGATTTGTAATCCCTTTTAAGTATGTTGTCAAGAAGGCAGATAATTGTAGACTTAATCTATCAACATAAATGCAATATCATAATACAACGTTCAAATAATGACATACACCATTGTGAAAATCGTGTAAAAACTTGGAAGTGATATAATTGCTTCAAGAAATAGGCGGAGTTGTTATTTAATGAAATGCAATGAGGTTTAACGTCTTACTTAAACATACATTATGCAAGAGCTAAATCTGTCTATTGCAGGTCTTTCTTTAGGCCTGAAATGTTATCTAAATTATTAATTAGACATTAATTAACTTATCCAGACCATAATCAAATCTAGATGGCATCGCTAGCCTGCGATCTTAAGTGGATTGTGATCTGATTTACTGCATAACCTTTCCTTCTCGATTAAACGATTAAATGGATAATCGAGACTATGTTGTTTAACGTACTGACTTTAGTAATGATGACCGAGGCTAGGCAGAAATTTCCTTCGCTTAGTTCTCGGTTCATAGTGGATCAATTTGAATGAAATTTTCAGCAAATTGCCTTTGCGTTATCTAGTTTGTAATTATTATAGTGAGAACTGCCAACTCGTTATCGAATCTCCCATAATGTATCTTTAAGAACATGAACCGGGGAAATGAAGAAGGACTATCGGGAAAAATTTTGTCCAAACAGCTGCGCAACAACGTTCTGATCTTATTTTAGAATACGCCTCCGCCCTGCACCAATAACAAAAGGAAAACCATTCCGGGAAATCCCGGGGAACTTTATCGCGTTTTTTCATCGGGTGCTGCGATTCCCCCACTTCTAAAGATCACTCCACTTCGACCCAACTCCCTCTCTGCCCCCTCTCTCTCTATAGTCATTACAAAGCAAAGAGAATACACAGACGACCAAAGGAATTTGACACACATGTACATAGCAAACAAAAGACTCAATTATATTGTAAATATCATTTCGTAAGCTATTCTGCAATTGACTTTAACAATAACAACATGATGTGACGGTGACAACATGACTGCACGTAGCGTAACGGAATTTTTTCATTGCATATTATAAAAGTTGGACGAGGATCGTGTATCTTTATGTTATTATTTCTGGTATCTTGATGGGGATGAGTCAACACAGTCAGGGGTATGGTCTGATTTATGCCTGATATTACCCAATAATAGTCGAAAGGGCCGTGAGAGAATTTTACTTTTTGGGGAAAAAACAGTTTAACTAATTTTTATCTATTTACCTTCTCAGAAACATTTTCATTTGTCTAATAAATTTGAATCGAGTCGTATTATGCGGAAATTGATCTTTACCTTACCTTTCTTAGAAACATATTAACTGGGTCTTTTTTTGAGAGTTAACCTTTAAGATATGCAAGCTGCACAGTCGTCAATGTTCGTGTGATAAACTAAAATCGCACTATGTGGGCTTATTATACAAATTACCCATAAATTTGGTATGTTGGCGTCTGTTTGTCAAGTATATTTGATGGAAAATATAGGGATACGAAATTGTTGGGTCGGCCTTTATGGTAAAAATCACCTAGACAGATTTTGTATTCTGGCTCCTGATTGGGTCGTCCATATAGAGTAAGAAAAATGTTCGATTATCAACTAATAGCAATTTTACCGCCGATCTGAAAAGGGCATTAGACCCCTATATATCTTAGCCGGATTCCCAACCGTGTCCCTTGCATTATTGGTTTATCTTTATTACCTATGATAATGATTTTACCGCCGATCTGAAAAGGGCATTAGACCCCTATCCTAGCTGTATTCCCAACAGTGTTAGTTGCATTATAGGTTTATTTTTATTACCTATGATAATGATTTGACAGCCTTCGGACGAGAAAAAAAGTGGAAAACACAAGCCATCAGACGTCAAACAGTTTGGTTTAAATAAGTTTCGCGACACTGGTTAGGTTGAAAAACCTTTACAAGTCTCCAGTATATCTCGTTCTCATTTTGACAGAATAAAGAATATAAATTAGAATCGGAGATTCTGTTCCCGTCAGTTGTTCTCCCAGTGGTTAGCAAATATCAGCCCAATATACCACAAAGATTGACCGAATAATACGCAACTCTTATTTTCTTTCAATTTTTCTTTTAAAACCTTTTCGAATTTGTAGATTCACAGTCTTTATATCTGAACGCAGATCAAAAAAATGAAAGCCTATATATTAAGTGATAATATACTTATGTTAGCCCCCTTACATATCCTAATATTCCTAAGTAAATAGACCCACACTATCTAATGAAAAGAAACATTAAGGGTCATACGTATGTTTATATAACTTTTAAATTTTAATATAGTAACTCTAAAACATCGAAAAGAAAAAAAATAACCGTGTAAGTATATAATTAAATTGATTTATTTTTGGCATGGGAACATTAATCAGTCTGACACGACATGTCGCTCTTTTAAAAATATTATCAGGATAAGCAAAGGGAGGGACTTTAAACGCCTAGTCATCTTACCAAATACCATACGCCAATTTGGATTGCAGTATAAGTGAAGGGGGGTAGTTCGCCTTGCCTCGACCTTTCCTCCTTCTCATTGAATTCAAGGGTTCGGTGGCTGAATGGTCTAACCAGTGCGCTTTAGATGATAAGGTCTGTCAATGAGTCAAATGGCGAGGGTTCGATTCGCAGCTAGGGTTGCCTGTACAAACTCTTGTGTTTTCTTCGGGTCCCGAAATTACCTAGCTTGTATCGAGTGGAGGTACCCCCCCTTTATCTCCCTTTCTCTCTCTCCCTCTCTCTCTCTCTCTCTCTCTCTCTCATTGAACCACAACTGCCTAACGAAACAATACACATTAAACTAGGAATCAGTCGAGGATTATATAAAGGCACCTATGTAGTCTATGTTCCAGCTGTCAACAACACAGAGCAAGGGAACATATTTTTGTTACATGATCACTGGATATCGCTTCTTCTCTTCATCAAACGTTTACATAACTAATTCGGTTTGATCATTGTATTAAAAATCCATGGAAAAGGTTAACAGTCTTTTTATAAGTCCAAACTAAATCAGGTACAAAATATTAAAATATTCAAAATTGTTGAAATATCTTTCTTTGTTGAACTTTATCAAGTCCCCAAACACTACAAAGGTCCTTATTTCTTCAAATATAAGGATCTCGGTGTGACGTTCTCGT